TCTTTCCCTTGCATATTTTTTTCGTTCACCTTTACATGCGAAGAACGAAAGATAACCGTAAATTCAGCTGTCACTTCACCTCACGTGTCCGTAGAAGCCACGTGCGTAGTCGACCTTCCTCGAGACTCTGATCGGCGGTCGCCAATAGCATGTTGCTATTCCGTATCTTCCATGTTCTTCGGTAAAGAAAGGGGGGAAAAAGTTATAAAACGATTGTCCAAACCGGGGAAGCTCTCTTAGTGTTCCGGCTCTCTGTACTTTTCGGCTCGTGTGTCGCTTCTGCCACAAGTTCGTTCGCTCTTCGACAGTCGCGCTTCGCTTCAAATTCACACGCGACAGCGAGCTGAGCGATAACGGTCACTCAGCTGTTCAGTTTCGGGTTTCCGCGACGATATCTCTTCCTCGCGCGACGCGACTTCGCGATCACACGCGGCCTAACAGGCGAGTTTTATAAGACACCGGACCGCGAAGTGCAACGTCCAAGACTGCGACAACGTATCCGAGCGCCAGCAAGTCTTCCGCCTGTCAAGGACCCGATATCCCGACCGAATCGACTGAAAGCGAAACGAATCTATCATTCATCTTCATCATCATTTGTTGTTATTGTTACGAGCCAGGGCTAAGCGGCTGCGAGAGCCGAGGTAATTGCGAGTTTGGTTTTTTAGAGTTTGTTATGTGGACGAACCTGTGCCTATTTCATCACAGGGAGCCACTGGGATAGGTTGTCGTGGACGAATACGAGCCTATTTCATCTCAGGGAGCCACTAGGATTGTTAGTATGGGCCTCGTAACTTTTAAGAATTCGGTACACTTTGTGGGTTCGCTTCTAGCTGGGAATTTAGATGTTATTCTAGAGTTGAAACGAACAGCACTGAATTATAAATATATGAACGTATAAAAGTATATTCAATAAAATAAAGGTTTTACAAATGGTACTGTAAAGTGTAGTCGCGGAAGTTGGTTCCCACGTTCTCGGTTTTCACGCACTAAGAAATGCGGGGTTGTGTCGTACAAAGTTTAAGCTTACTTTTGAAAATGCTTGAAAGGGACTTTAATACCCGATCTCACTAGCTAGATTTCTAGTATAATTATGAACCACCGATGAGCTGTACGCGTTCCTTTTTATATCTCGAAAATCGAGTCTAAAAGTACTGGGGGGACACGCCTGTTCTCAACGGAAAACTGTGAAATTTACTTACATTTCCCGAGATGAAATCTTCGTAGACGCGTCTTCCGTTTTTACGTACTTTATAATGGAATTGTCGAGGGGGTGAGAGCCTTGGGGTTGTATGATCGACGAGATTCGGATCGTTCCTGCACGCCACTTGGATCGAAGAAACCATCTGAGCCTGCGTTTCGATTCGACTTCTCTTATCCCGGTTGTGGATATTTGTTGCGCCACAATCAGCTCGAAATTCGTTCGAGACGACGTTCTCTTTCTTCGTTAAAGTGGAGATTCGAGTTCCGTGTACGTGAGTAGGAGAGGCTGCCATTGCGCACGTTCGAAGCTTTGCTTTCGAATTCTATTCGCGGTGGTAGTTATCGTGTGGCTGCGAACCGAATCCGGTTTTGCTAGAATATCGAACGGTGTGTTTCTCGGGGCACCAAGTTGCCCGTCGTAGAACTTGCTTTCTACTACCCCCACGCCCTGAAGTTGTATTTTGAAGCACCGATCGCTGACAATTATTGCCGCCGAATGTTGCAAATGCAGGGGATAAATTTCTCGAAAGGGGAAATAAACTCGATATCTCGTATCTATTTCCGGATCACGTTTATTTCTTACGTATTCAGCATACAGTTGTTCTTTTTATGGTCTGTATAATTCAGTCTTCTTCTTCTTACACTTTTCCAGTTTCACACAGATTTTCTGCTCGTTTCTCACGTACCCTTGCTTGCATCTGCAGGCTGATTTAAGCGGATTACACTCCTGCAATGGATTACGGATATTAACGTACCTTGGAATAGAAATTCCGATTACTATTAATTATTATTGCACTCGTTAATGACAGTTAAGTTTCAAAGGGTTGTATCAAGATGTTGCATAACAAATGTGTTTAGTTAAATCGTCGAACGTAAGTAAGATTATTGGTCTTTTACAAAAATGTTTCGATTCGGATGGATCGTACTTCGATTAAAATATCTTCCAAAATACAAAGTCATATTCACTGAAAGTTTGCAGTTTCAGAACGACATTTATTACTAACTTTTCGAATGTGACCACCTTATTAATATCAAAAGTTAGTGGTAGTACGATACTTACGAGTTTTGGACAGGTCTTTTCAGTCGGCACTGGAACCTTGCACGTCGGTTCGCATCTTTTTCCGCACCACGACAACACTTCGTTTTTAGGGCACTTTTCCTTCGGTGCCGTTTCCCCTTTTTTTAATTAACAGCCGCATTAAAACATCAGATATCATAATACGTTGTCGAATCTAGTCGAAACTTACCGGTGGTGATCACCAAGGCGAGAAGCCCGAGAACGACGACGTATTTGACCATTATTTCTTCTTTCTTTTTATCCTGCCACTATTATCGCGTACAGGAAATTATGACTGATACAAGTTCCCGCAGCACAGTTTTATACTCGAGACTTTGTTCGAGTTACCAACATGTCATCTGTGTTTGTCGAGATAAATCGTCATTAGTAGATATCTTTCGGCGGAATGATTAACATTAAAAGCTGTGTAAATAATTTACGAAAAATTATTATGTGTTTAACGGAGTATTAATTATCTATCCCATTCCCTGCTATGCCCTTAATAATTAACAGATACACCGTTTCATGCTAAAAAATAATATTTATTTTCTATTCGTTCAACAAATTATGAAATAGAGAGCGATCGGACGGCTTGCATTTCTCCAGTTCGATGCACTTTTTCGCCTTGTTCCGAACTAAACCTGGCCTGCACCTGCAGTCAGCTGTCTTTTTTGTGCATTTCTAAAACAAATTCGACGACGTTGTTCTGAATACAGTTGATGTTCGAGGTACAATTAAAAATTAACGTTTTCAAGACTTACGAATTCTGGGCAGATAGTCCAACCTGGTTGCAGAATCCCACAAGTCGGTTCGCAAACTTTTTCTCACCACGACCACACTTCCGTTTTCGGGCATTTCTTCGTGGGCGCGGGAGTGGTGGGTTTCTTCTTGGAGTCTTTATCAAGTCGATCATCCGACAAATTTTTGAAATAATTTGATTAATGTAATCGATAAATATTACGTAACAAAGTTGCTAAGTCCTAACCAGCTGCCACCAGTGTAATAAGTAAGATCGATACGACGACTTTTCGAAACATTGCGGGGATTTCTCGATCTTCCACTTATCACGAACGCTGCTTGCCCTATGATACTAAAGCGTTTCAATCTTGCATTTTATAGCCTCTGATTTCAATTTAAATTCACCTGAGGGCTCGTACGATTGCAGATTACTTTTAGTTCAGAGATAATTCGGATGACTTACGCGAAAGCTGTGCAAATTTGCATATGTTGTTGAAACAGACTTTACAAGTAGCTTTTTTTTCACGTTGGTATGATTTATTCATTTTGATTGGGCGCTTCCGAAAATTCTTTTATGACTCATACCCCCCACAGTGTGTTACGTGCCCGGAGTTTTTGAGACTATATCGATACATTTGTGTTGATAATTTCAAATAAGAAAGAACCAAAGATTATGCTAGCAGAAAGTATTTATTCATCTCAAATAGAATCTACGGACACAAGTGTATAAATTTAGTAGAAAGAATTACATTATCATTAATTATTATTAGTCATTCCATATGTATTTATCATATGGAACATATTTATTAATCGTCCTTGCAGTGGCGTTTACATTTCTCGGGTTTGACACATCTGTTCTTCTCGTTTCTAAGATGTCCTGGTTTGCAGCGACAAGCAGCTATATTCTTACTGCACGCCTGGAACAGAAACGACGATACAGTAAAATGGGTGCAAAAACACGCGTCGATATAATAGAATCTCGTTCACGGTATCTGGTACTCACAATTTTTGGACATATTTTTGGTGTTGGATTATCGCATCTGGGTTCGCAAATTTTTCCACAAAGACTCCATTCCTCGTTCGGCGGACATCTATGGCAGTGGTTACCTGGCTTTTTCTCGTCCTTGTCGTCGTCGGGGACTGGAATAAAAAATTTTACGATCGAAACAGTTAGAGTCTCGAGTAGCTAGTAAATTTAAAAATCTTCAGAGAAACAGATGCAAGAATACAGGTATTATTTCATCCGTTTTAGATTAATTTCTACTCTTTCGTTTCCACGGTGTTCGGGTGCGAAATCAAGCTTACAAAATCAATTCTAAGAGAAACTTACGGGCAGCAACAACCACAGCGAGGAGCACGAATACAAACACGAATCGAGACATGGTTCTTCCCTATATTCTTCTTGGGATTCTTTTCCTTTTCGTTGAGACTTCAGCGGCTTCACTGATGTCGAATCACTCGAGACGTACCATTTTTATACACATCTCGTATTTTTATTGTTTATTTACACAAGCGATCTTTCTTTTCCTGTTCGAGATAAGAAACGGCCACCCGTGTATCACAAAAGGAATATCTCACTTCACTGGATTACAATAATATCTGTGTCACTGAAATAAAAGAGAGGAGCTGGTGGTACAATCAGGCTTGTTTTTAGAATAAACACGTAGAAGCTGATAATTTAAAAGAATTTATGACGCATTTAGACGGGAGGATGTCGTCGTTCCCGTTTACCTTCGAATTTCGAGAACACTTCTGTCTTGCGTGTCACAGCCCCCGCCAATTAAACCGTTAACGGGACACTGGGTGGAAACTGGTTACCAAGTACTCGGCGAGAGCATTTCAGATCGAAGCGTGTGACGGTGAAATTCTCGTGTTCGCGGAGTGGCTTCGGTCCCGGGGGGTAGTAGCGCTAAATTATCGGTACTTTAACGGCTCCTCTAATTGAGTCGTTTGATCGAGAAAGCGAAAGAGGGGAAGAAGAGAAGACGACCCATCCCATCGATTCTTCCCTGTGTGTTTGTGTTCACCCAAGATCTTCATTTGCCTCTGGTCGTTAGCAGATTTCGTCCCCGCGAGTGAAACTTTCGATTGAACGTCGTCGAACTTTCCGAGGGCACCGAAGAGGAGGAGGAGGAGCAGCCATGGTCCCGCGACGGACATTTAAATGGAAATACACTTTTTACTTATATTTATATGCAAATACGGTTGTTTCCGGCGGTAGATGGGGTGGCGAGGGACGGAGAAAGAGACAGAGGGACCACCAAATAGGCGACGCCACGAGAATGAAAACGACCGCGTTTTGAGAGAGGCGAGAAAAGGGCACCGTCGAAAGGCGCGCGCGCACACGCGATATGTCGCAATTATGGCGTCGTCTGCGCCTCGACAGTTTCCACCGAGCGGCTGCTCCAAGCATTTTAATAGCCTGGTAACCGAAATTTATTTATCGGTGTTCTTTTCACCGTTCACGTTCTCGAAAGAAATTCTTCGATGGTCGGAAGGAGTCAATGCATTGACACCTTGCAGACTGTTGTCGCAGATCTGTGTTACAGGTGGGGACTTTCACCTCTTTAGGAACGAATTTATTAAAACCAGAGAATTTTTGGTATTTTTCGACCGTATTTAAATAAAATGTACTCAGAAATATTAACGACAATCAATTGGTAGAATATCCTGTTTGTTAGGGAATTTCCGAGCGATCATTTAATTACAGTTTCGGAGCGATGCTAGAACGAAAGAAAAACTAAACATTACACATACGAGCCAGTATTCCTCAAGTGGGTAAGGTGATATTCGGGGTTTTTTGTATGCCATAACTTGATGAGATTAGTAACAAAAATGTTTTTATTATATCTTTTTTGTAACGTACGGTTTATATTCTTCAGGCACGGGGGTTTAGGAACATCGAATCCGTTTTGGAAAGTGGGCTCCAATCTATGGTCGAGGTGAAGTCGGAGAATTCTGTCAGATTAGAGTACGTTTGAATGTTTCTCGAGATTCAAGCTACCGGAACAATACGCTCCCTCAGTTACGCGAGGGACGTGTTTCTTCCGAATTGGAGAAATTGCTGCACGGATTCCGTTATCGTTTCCCTGGGAGGGCTGGGTGATTTCGTTCGAAGACAGTGCATCCTCTTTACCTCGCCGCGTAACGACGCGCCCGATCACGACCCCGCGTATATAAGCCCGCTTATGGATATCGTTATCGGGCATCTGGAGCGTTCCCTGCGCAGACGATCCTCGTCGAGGAATATCGGAAACGCCACGGAGTCGTAGCGGGTCTGTTCTCTCCCATTCCGTATATTCTTTATCTTTTCGCCGATTTACGGAAAAGCTGTTCTGGACGAATGCTGAACCATCGGACGAATAAATACGAGAACCTTCTTACCTTAGGCTACAGTAGTACTAACTTTTCAAAGGTTATTGCAAAAAGTTGAGAATATGTTCCGAGAAGATGGAAATAATCCGTGGACGTCAATTTTGATTCCAAGCTTTACTCAAAATATGATAACAATATTTATCTGTGTGTTGAGCAGTTGAGTAGTTTTAGGCTATTGTTTATCCAATATTGGAGATACATGGGGTCGAACGGAAAGTTTTTCCGTATTCTAGGGTGTGTCGTTGTATCATCTAATTAAGTTATTCATTATTAGGTATTATTTATATTTGTCATCTCATCTAGTATTCTATCACGTACTTCCTTTACAATTGATCACGATATTTAAAATCTAGATGCACGCATTTAAACACTTTGGCGATCCAATCGTGCCGGAGTGTCGTATCCTCCTTTTTTTCTCTATCTTCCTCTCTCTACGCCATTATCCCGACAAGGGTTCCACTCTCGCCAAAGTCAGGCGGGATAAGACCGGCCCCCGATCTGTAATCCGAAAGTTGTCAGCCGCACATCGCGCTGCCCTAATGGAATTTGAATGTCGTTAGCCGAAGTAACCGGGCGTGAGGAAAGGGACCTTATCCCTATTACCTCGTCGTTGGGGGGGATACGATCGCCGCAGGTATCGCCCTTGAGGAACACACCAAGGTTTTGCGCCCAGAAAGAGGCGGAGAGCAGCAGCAGACGGCTGCGAGGTTTATTGGAGCGCGAAAATTTGTCGGGTTCGACGATCGTTTTCTTTCGTCTCGCTCGGCTTCGCCGTTTGATCCCATCGACTCCTGTTCTCTTTCACCCGTTGGTTCTACTACGTTCGGCTCGAAGGATCAGGGACGATCCAGGCACATCAAAAAACGGCCACTCTTCCATTTTGCTTGAACAGATTTCATTTCCACGTTCGGAGACCCTTTTGGGAGACCCTTCGGTTCGAAAGTTTTGATAAAAAGGAGAACAAGATATAGCCTAGCATTGTGGAACCATTCGATCTGGGAATGTTCCAAGGGTCATTAATGTCATCCGAGAAAATTCGAATCGATAAAGTTAAAATTTGGCACGAATTTCATCGCGGAACCGTACTAGAGTTGGGTACATATTTTATTCGAATTGTACACAGTCAAAAGGCAGCAGTATCTAAGATCGTTATTTTCATATTTAAACAATTAACAAGATTAAGTGTTCTCCAAGTGGCGACTCATTTGTATTATTTTATTATAAAAATGATTTGTTACTTTTCATCTAGATAATGAATTTGCCAATTTTTAACAAAATCTGTATTCGGAAATAACCATCGGGAACGTAGTCGAATATCGTGGCTCGATTCGACAGAGTTCTCGTGAATCATGGCGGACGATGGCCAGGATTTCAAGAAGCTCCTCAGGAGAAGACTTCCCCAATACATTGCTGCGATATCAGGTTTTTGTCCTCATCCCTCGATACCACCGTACCCTCAGTCATCGTCGAAACATAGTCTCTACGGGAGAAGAGTCTACACTTTAATCATCTAACCTTTAAAAAACGTGTGCCCCGCGATATCTTATATACCCCAGATGGGCAAATTCATTATCTAGATAAAAAGTCTCGAATAACGAATACAAGATGAAAAAAATATTTCGTCATTTTTACTTGATCGAACGTGGTAATTCCAATTTTTATCATAAAATAATATTTCTTCTCGAACGAGTAGACACTTTGGAAACAATTATTTAATCTCATGAACTGTTTAAAGGTCAGGATGACGTTCTTAGATACTGCTGCTTCTCACTATGCATTATTCGAATAAAATTGTGCTTATCTCTGATATATACCAATTCAGTAAATCTTTCAACTCAATAAATCTGCGCAAATGAACTTGACTCTGCAGCGTGCATGGGCGGATTTTCACTGGGCTGCGCAATCGGATGGAGCGCGCCGTGCGTCGAACTTCTGAAAAGTGATCACAGCTACGAGCCTTCGGAAACGAGCTTGATTGCGTCGGCGTTACCGCTGGGCGCCGCCATGGGTATGATCGTGGTGCCGTTTCTGATAGACAGGATCGGCCGAAAGTGGACGATGATGTCGCTCGCGCCGGTGTTCGTTACTGGCTGGATCGTGATCGTGGCTGCGATACATGTGTTAGCGCTTGTGATCATCGGTAGACTGATAACCGGCGCCTGTGGCGGCATGTTTTGTGTCGCCGCGCCCATTTACTCCGCGGAGATCAGCGAGAAAGAGATCAGAGGTAAAAAGAGAATAGAGATCGCGATTCTTTGTGTGTATATTTCGGCAAAAAAAAAATCTGAAATTGCTATTAAAAAAATAAAAGAAAAATCTGATATTGCTATAAATGGAAAAGAAAAATCTGATATTGCTATAAAAAGAGAAGAAAAATCTGAAATTGTTGTGAGAAAAAAGAACATTTTGAATTGGTCTGTGAAAAAAGAAGGAAAATCTGATATTGTTATCAGGAACTCTGGGAGTGTTCTTTCAATTGTTACTGGTGATCGGTGTCATGTACGGGTTTTGTTGCGGCTTTTCGGGAAACGTAATCACGATATCTGTTCTTTGCGGCGTCGGGCCAATCATCTTCCTGGTGATGATGTTCTTCATGCCGGAAAGTCCTCTTTTCTATTTGGCGAAGGAGAAGGAGGAGAGTGCGATGAAATCCATGCGATTCTTCCGTGGACCCAACGTCGACATCGGTCCCGAGATCGAAGCTTTTAAAGTCAGTTGAAAATTCGACTGGTCCCATCTATTTGCAATTGTGTTTGAAAAAAAAAAAAAGAAATCTTTCCGGATGGAAGTTTACAAAGTTATTATGTGATCGATAAAGTTATGGAATCCTATATTTTTTATTCCATATTCAAACGCTATCACTTGTATTTTTCGTAACCGATTGTTGAGTTATTAACTTCCACTAATGCCGATGGCACGTATACTTTAAAACTTAATAACTCAGCAACGACTTACGGAAAATACATGTGTGGTAGTCATTCGTATGCGTCTCAAGCCATAAAGGGATATGCAATAAAAAATATAGGATTCCTTCGAAATATTTTAATATGACAATCACGGGACACTCAAGCGTTATCTCAAAGTCAAATAATTATAGCGATGATTCCCTATGGTACCACGCAACTTTCATCTGAAACATTTTTTCGTATTTTTGCAACTTACAGAAATAATTTCATGAGTACACTTAAATCGGACATACACTGTATAGCAACACATGCGTGCGTTAACATTAGGAACAAGTACGGGAAAGCAAGCGTCAGCAGGTGACGATCACGACGTTCCTCGAGAAACCGGTACTGAAGACCCTGGGAGTCGCGATCGGTCTGATGTTCGCGCAACAGTTCAGCGGGATCAACGCGATCATCTTCTTCGGCGAGACGATCTTCAAGCAGACCGGCGTCGACATGGACACCACACTGCAGATGGTGATCTTCGCCGTGGTCCAAGTGATCGCCTGCCTCGCCTCCGCCGTGCTGATCGATCAGGTTTGTCCATCCATCCGCAAGCCCCTCTGGACGGATCGACGCGACAACCTTCCTCCACTTGCGAGCAGCGCTGCGTGCTCGTTTACCAGCGATTTACAGCAGCTGGTCTCTGCTGCCAGGGCGCTTGTTTCCCAATATGGTCGGATCGCGAGCGTGTTGTTTCGTACACGAACAAGAATTCCAGCAAAATCTTATAACTGACCCATTGACGAACTGTGTGCGTCTTCGGAACCCCTTCGGAGAAGTAACGAGCGGTGTTGTTCAGCCAGCGAGTGGAGGATTGAACCACAGACGAGGTATAAGGATAGACATGAAATGTAATTTTCTGTCCCATACTTCGGGGGGTGTCAGAAGCTTCCGTACCATATCAGTATTACATTCCTTGCCAGTGAAACCGAAGCAATGGATGTATGGATGTAATGGATGTACACTAAAAACCAAATAAGACAATAACTGCGAAATGACGAATTTCGGTCTTGTTTGCGCATATTCCTCTCGATTACCTTTGTTACCAACGTCTTAAACAATTGAACATCATTATGCCTCGTGTAGCATCATACATCGAGTGACTGTGAAGTACAAACGTGCCAATTCATAAGTATTCATGTCTTGAGAAATACTTCATTATGTCACCGGGTGTAGAACAAATTCTATCGTCCCTGTTACAGAAAGCGAGAAAGTGGGAGAACCAAGGGTTCGAGAGACCTCTCCTGCTCGTTCGAGATGCGCGAAACAGTTATGCTCTTATTTGGCGTTTAGTGTATGTATGTATCGCTATATGCAGTCGTTGTGCATCTATATGTGCGTTATCACAGTGTCGAACGTAGTTTCTGAAATCGGAAACTTTTATGGAAAGATGCGCTCGAAACAGCATGATTTTCGTGGACATCAAGTCCCATAAGATGTTAGGTCTATTCTTATAATCTCGTCTGTGATTGAACATCGTGTGTGCGTGATTACTTGAAAAGCGAACGACATATTGTTGTAGCTGGGTCGGAAGTTCCTAATGATAATGTCCAGCGGAGCGATGTGCCTTTGCCTGATCAGCCTCGGGATATTCTTCATCTTGAAGACCAGCGATCCTGAAACGGCAGATAGCATACAGTGGCTGCCTCTCACCTCCACGTGTCTCTACATTCTAGCCTTTTGCCTAGGCGCCGGTTAGTAACTGGTAGCGAGTGTTCTCTTTATCAGGAGTGGAATCTTCGCTCCTTTCACCGATAACTTCTCCGAATGGTGTATAAGCAGGAACAGTTCTATTCATTTTTGCGGATCGAACAGGTCCCGTTCCCTGGGCATACATGGGAGAGATCTTCCCAACGAGGCTGAAGGGAGTCGCCTCGTCTATCGCGGCGTTCGTCAACTGGACACTGGCGTTTATAGTGACGGAATCGTTCTCTAGTTTGGTGGACACGCTGGGCACTGCGGCCATTTTCTTCATTTTCGCCGTGTTTTGCTTCCTGAGCGTGATCTTCGTCATAGTGTTCATGATCGAGACCAAAGGGAAGACTCTAGCTCAGATTCAGACGGAATTCGGAACGATCGAGCAGTAACACTGAAGAGGAAAATTCTATGTTCCCCTGAACACCTATTCGAAGATAATGGAGAAGAGGAGGATCGAAAGGGACTTTGGGATGTCGGATTTGAATATCTTCGCCGAAGTTTTGTAATTTTCTCGAGGGAGAGGCGAGAATGAGACGTTGAAAACGTCACGATTTCCTCCAGGGACGGTTGATAAGCAGACCAGAGAGAGGGAAGACGCGGGTAAACTTGAACTCGGTGATTATGCAGCCTCGGGTATGCACAGACACGAACAATGCGGCTCTCTCGCCCTTGGAGCGTTCTCGTCACGACAATGATTCTCGCCTGGCTCTGCACGCATCTGAAATGAAAAAAATCACTGATGTTAAAACGCCACGTGACGAGTTCTTTATAACGAAGTTAAGCGAAAAAGAGTCTTCGACACACCACGGTGACGGTCTTTTTATGGCCGTCGACCTTGACAGGTTAATCGGGCCTCAATGGGGATTATCGAGCCGGGTGACTGATCGATGACAACTTCTCGATCGTGTAGAAAGCGAGTAGAAAGTTTTTCGCGTAAAACTTGTTGGAAAGTGTTCACCTGTACTTCATCCCGTTACGTACAATCGGACAATATTCATCGATCGTCTCCACAGAGGACGTACTTTACGCTTCATATCGACGACTTTCAACGATATAGTTTCTTTTATAACACGATTCATTAACGCCCTTCCTACTCCGATTAACATTCCACACGAGCAGCACACGGTGTGCAATATCCAAGAACCCATCGAATCAGGATTCATCTCGGTGGATCGGTACTATCGCGACGTTTACGATCGTCGATCGATGACGATGACCCTCCACTCGGGTCTCGGTGCATTTGCCATGCAGTTGCCATCGTTGGTGCTCGGTAGGCGTTCGCCTTTCATCGATTATACATTCGAATTTATATTTATGAACCGTAGAGTAGCTGTTCGTATATCGGCGTGTGTTCTGATAATCGATGCTGCCGCGCAAACCTCTCGTCGTCCGTCGTTGTTCAGGGTCGAACGAGTTCTCGCGATCGTGTATGTTTGCCTAAACACTTCATCAAATGTCTCTTTACTGTTTTTTTTTCTTTTTTATGATCCCTTCGTCTGATAGTGGAGAAGGAGAAACCCGCTTCGAGGAGGGACATGCCGGGGGTCGTTGATCGAAGAAACGAGCACACGAGGATTATTTTTCCAGATCGATCGTTTCGCGGGCCACCGAGAAACCGGGCCATGTCCCGTTAGGCCTTATTCGGCGCGAAGGGTGTCCGCTTTCCTGCGTGGATCCGCTCGTCTTGACGCGATCTCTCCTTCGATTTTTTATCTACGCCTCCTTCGACTTCTTCTTCGACACCTTCCATTGAATTCTTCCTCGACTTCTTTCATTGAATTCTTCTTCGACTTCTTCCATTGAATTCTTCTTCGACTTCTTCCATTGAATTTTTCTTCGACTTCTTCCATTGAATTTTTCTTCGACTTCTTCCATTGAATTCTTTTTCGACTTCTTCCATTGAATTCTTCTCCGACTTCTTCCATTGAATTCTTCTCCGACTTCTTCCATTGAATTCTTCTCCGACTTCTTCCATTGAATTCTTCTCCGACTTCTTCCATTGAATTCTTCTCCGACTTCTTCCATTGAATTCTTCTCCGACTTCTTCCATTGAATTCTTCTCCGACTTCTTCCATTGAATTCTTCTCCGACTTCTTCCATTGAATTCTTCTCCGACTTCTTCCATTGAATTCTTCTCCGACTTCTTCCATTGAATTCTTCTCCGACTTCTTCCATTGAATTCTTCTCCGACTTCTTCCATTGAATTCTTCTTCGACTTCTTCCATTGAATTCTTCTTCGACTTCTTCCATTGAATTCTTCTTCGACTTCTTCCATTGAATTCTTCTTCGACTTCTTCCATTGAATTCTTCTTCGACTTCTTCCATTGAATTCTTCTTCGACTTCTTCCATTGAATTCTTCTTCGACTTCTTCCATTGAATTCTTCTTCGACTTCTTCCATTGAATTCTTCTTCGACTTCTTCCATTGAATTCTTCTTCGACTTCTTCCATTGAATTCTTCTTCGACTTCTTCGATTGAATTCTTCTTCGACTTCGATTGAATTCTTCTTCGACTTCTTCCTCGACTTCTTCTATTGAATTCTTCTTCGACTTCTTCCTCGACTTCTTCTATTGAATTCTTCTTTGACTTCTCCTTCGACTCCTCCTCCGACTTTTCGAGGGAGTGGTCCAGTCAGTATGCTCCCTTCGACGCCGAATAAATTAGCCAGCGAAACCGAAAGCGCGCGTGAGAAAGCCAGGCCTCTCGCAAGACACCGTTCCGTGCTAGAGTGGCGAAGGGGTGAGGGGGGACACATTGGACGAGTTTTTCGCGTTTTAGCACAAGAAACGGGGGCGGTTCTTTCTTCGTGGGAAGAAGCCAGGCTCTCCCTTGTTCCTGGTTGTGGAGTAGAGAGGCTCTAGAGCTGAGGGAAAAATCGGGATACTTTGTATGATTTTCTTGGGCACTCGACAACCTATCTTTTCTCCCCGTCTAGTCTTATAGATCAATCTGAGTTCAGCCTGGATTGATGCTCGAGAAGTCGCTTCAGAAAATCATAGTCTGACCGTTCAGTGTTCAAGTGTAAATAATATTAATATATAAGAACATTTCGAACAGAATATTACTTAAATATAATTACTTAAAATAAATATTTTCACAAAGTTTAATACTCTTTACGTGTTATTATTAACATATTGAACGGTATAAAATTGTGCAAAATTTTTATTTTCATGTATTAGTACCTAAAATCGTGAATTTGCGCAGACATCTCGCAGTCTATTTAGTCATGGTAGTAAGTAGAAACGGAACGTAATGGACAGACACGCTAGCCAGGCCCTATTCAATCGCACGCGTACCGATCAGATTCTCAGAGTCAAACTTAATATTAAAACTTAATATTAAACTATTATGATCTCTTCCATCTAAAAGAAATATTTTATTTAAATTAAAATTCTTAAAAAAGAACACTTTCCAGTACGATTCCCTCGAAAACAGAGTCTCGAATGAAGATATGTTATTCTAGATTTTCGACTGATTTTTTCACGTAGAATCATCTCCTACCCCGCTTGTCACCAGGTTACACGACACTCTGTATATCCATTCCTGCACCTCCCCGGTGCCCTTTTACAGCGCATACTCAGGACCAGTCAGTCGATTACTCGCGAGAAGCCAGTCCGAAGTCGCTCGTTCGAGAGTCGTCTGTTGTATATTTCATGAACGGCGGGTTTCCATCCACGTCGCTGCTGCTGCACCAGGAGAGGGAGGGACGAATGCCCGTGCGCCGCTGACGTGGTACCAAGCCACACGCACGGATCTCATCGGCGGGGCAAAATCATTTTATTACACTTGCGGTCCTCGTTCCCGGAACATTGCATATTTGTTTCCATCGCGCGCAACTGAATTATACCCGTAAAATTTATACAAGATAATTAAGACGAATGTCGGATATTTCAAAGTTGTGTACACGGAAATTGGAAGACGAATGTTGGGAATGGACAACCTGGTGCCATTTCATCAAGCATAAAACTTTATTAAACAGTCCTCTTATAGATACTGCAGAATATTACTTGTTTTCTAAGTGATTTTTTGTCTGCATATTTTCTTCCTTTTGGCCTAAAATATTCTAAAATGTGTTAAACTTCCGAATGTTTCTTATTTACCGAAATTTTACTTTAAACACCAAATACAATTTTTTTTGTATACGTGTCTTTAACCAAAAAAATGCCATCTTTCAATCACGTGTATACTCGACATGAATATGGAAGGGGTTCAAAAACTAACTCTAATATTATCGAAAGTTTCATAGCTGCTCCGTCCGACAATTAACGTGGTTAACACATCCACCGCCTTTCCGTTCACACCACAGTCACCGGTGACCGCGCGTCATCTGCTAAAAAATTCACTCCTCATGAACGTTAAGTCAGCCCGAAAAATATTCTCCCACCTGTGAACGCATGTAACACTAGAACTACCGACGATAAAAGCATATTTGTTTCGATCGCTGGATAAACGTCGAAGACTTTTGAAAATTTAGAATTTTTAAAATTAACTAATTTCTTCACTCTCGTATCGTAATAAAAGTATCGTAAGAAAAGTATCGTAATAACATTTTCATTGATTTGGTAGTTCTAGAGTTATAGCCACTCAATGAATCGTGAACTATTCGAAGGAATAGTAACTTCCCTCGTTTCAAGTACACGTCGGGGGTTGAGGGGGTTGGTTTCCCGAATCGGCCCGTATTCAGCCAGCTGGTTCCACTTTTTTTCCCCTTCCACGGCCACGATATCACGGCGAATACGATCCTATTCTATTTCTCTCCTTCCTCGTCTATCCCGTCTCCGTTTCGCGACTCCTCGTCGCACGCGATCCACCACGGGCTTCAAGGTTTCCGCGCCGCGCGTTTCAATTCGCAGACGGCGCGAACGTTTGCGCAGATGCGAGACCGCGCGCTTCTGCTCACCACTGCGCCATGTGTACGCGTGTGTACCTACCAACATATGTATGTGTGTCCCCTTTCGCCAGCGTCCTCGCCCGTTCTCTCTCTTTTTCTCTTCTTCACTCCCGCCTCGATTGCACACTGCACCATTGCACCGCGCGCACGACGGGGCCAATGCCCTCTTCGCGCGCGCTCGGTATCGGACTCGCTCGCTCCGCCTGTCCCCGCAGGCCGGAGCCGAAAAGCGCTCGTGTCTCTCTATCTGTGTATGGTCTCTGTATATCCCGTGTGTCTGTAGTGTTCTGTGGTGGTTTTTTGCGCGTCGCCCTCCTTCCCACCCCCTCCCGACGTGTGCGTGTGAGGCCACGCATGCAGCCGTATATACATCCCCCTTCCCGTTCTCCCGATGATCGTGACTCCGCCGCGAAAGGAGGACAGGTCACCGTGTCACGGTGTATAAAACTGATCCAACGACGAGCAGCGGGTTTTATAGATCGCGAAACACACACGGCG